ATTGGTAGCACTTGCAGTGTAGCCGAAAACTGCTGAATAAACATGAAAAGAGGAAAGTCCTGCACAATTATTGGATCACTGGGTGAGCTGGATGCATTTTAGTCCATCTGAAAGTTAATTTGCAATGCAACTCAAGTGATTCCCGGTTTGGAAAAAGAAGTGCTTAGTGCGGAGCTTAGGCCGCAGACCATTTGCAGTGACATTTTTTGCAGCATCTTTAAAGTAACAGCTTTACTAAGGCAGCTTGGGTGTGCAGCACGTACAGAGGTGAGGGGAGGATGCACATGATTAGGCTGGCATTTGGAAGGGCAAATTTTGTCTTACAAAGCACAACAGCTGGTGGAGTGCATCTGGCAGACTTCCTCTCATTTGGATGGGTGTCTTAACCAAGCCAGTGTCTGGCTTATGATGCTTTAGCATGGGGTATCTTAATTGCTTCTTAAAAATGGCAATGCTCCTACAGGAGGAAGCCAAAGAGTCCCTTAAAAGTTGCTATGGGTTACGAGCACACTCCTCACAAGAGAGGGAGTTGTTGCAGCAACCACTCGGTCTTCATGTTTGGCTTTGGGAACGTCAACTGGGCCTCCCGGCTCAGCTGGGGTAAGGAGAGGGACACGGTGGGGCAAGGGCAAACGTAAGGCAGATGCCAACGATAGCTGGTACAGAGGCATTTCTGAGTATACCATCAAGCAGAATATGAAGTACTCATGTAACTTTACTACAGTTACGAGGGCTAATTTTGGGTGGTTATGTTATGACAGTTAGATGATATAAAAATGTTTCCCTATGTACCAGAGGCCTGGTGAAGTGTTCAGATACTCTAATGATGAGGTCTGTGCAAGTCCCTCTCAGAGCAGTGCTAAGAGCTATCTATGGCTTCCAACGAAGAGTTATAAGTAATTATAGACCATTTATTATGAAGAAGTAAGGACACGGATTCATTTGCTGAATGCTGAGCATGTCCTATTAATTCTGTGCTCTTGAATTAATAAAGAAAAGATTATACTGCCATTTTAGTAATTGAATTTTCTCCTCCTTTGGGAACAGTGCATATTGAAGTGAGAGTCTACCCTGTATTACACAGAGATTTTTTTGATTTTCTCTAAGTTTGGCTGACCCAACACAAAAGTCAGGCAAAAGTCACACTTTCTGCAGCTGTAAAATAGCATTTGCAAGGGTTTGTTTAAAACAGGAAATAAAAGAAACGTTTCTTAATCTTGCCTTAATTTTTTAAAATGGACTTGTTTACAGTTACTTGGCTTGAGTGAATTAACTGTGTTTACCTGCCAAAATGCAAGCTTTTGTCCTCAGCGGGAATGCCAGAATGCTTTTAGTGGAAATAACGGGGCATCAATCTGGGGTTCGGTTTGAGAGCTTGTGCTAAAATATCCATGTTTTCACATGAGTACTTGGTAGCTGAAAATGAATAATTTCACTCTTGCTTAATAGTTACA